CATACTGCTTTGCCTTGCTGCACACTCCATAGTACACTTGAATCGCTCCTTGTAACTCAAAAACATCAACAGCTGCTATCTTTTAAATATAAAGGTGTCACTACTTTAGTTTTTATTAATGTGCACTAAAGAAAAACCTTGTGGATGAGCACTGCTACATTTTGAAACCAAATTAGTAGATAATCATATATTGGCATTTTTGTGTAAAGAACCGGTTCACTACAGCATTTCAGTCTGTTTTGAATTAAACATCTTTTTTTTGTCTTTTATTCTGTGGCAACTTGTAGTTTATTGACACATTTCTTGGGAATTAAAATCAGACAATTGCACAATCACCCAAATATCAGCAGGGAAATCATACTGGACATATAAATATACTGGTGTATCTCTTCAGGTGGAAATCTGGTGTCAAACAAACACAAATTAGCAATTAGCATTATCAATGAATCAAACAATTAAAAAAAACTATATGATACAAACTTGTATCTAGAAATCTAAAAAGGCAATGTTATATCAATAATTATTTTAAAAAATGCAATTATTGTACTATAAGGGCTGGTCCATATTGGTAAAAAAAAACCTAAGGCTTCATTTCTGAGCAGCAGTCCTTGGCTTATTATAAACAAGGAAGTCTGAGATGTCGTGCCACACATTGCTGTCGTGGTAGAGATAGTTCATTGAGGACTGCAGGGAGGGCTGGAGGGTGTGTGGGTAATATTCAAACAGCCACAAGACAACGCCCCACACCAGCGTGGCGAAAAGCGGGAAAGGGTCGTGTTTAGGCTGGGGGATAAATCCTTTCTCTACAGCCAGCCGTGAAAGAGCGAACAGGATCCTGGACAGCAAGTACATGTTGATCTAGAGGAGAGGGGGGGAAAAAAAAGTTAGAATGATGTAAAGATTTATAATGCTGTGCTCACGACTACGGGCTTATCATACCTGACTATTGATGTTGTTGTTGTCTCCAAACACTAACCATCCTCCAACACAGGCAGCGAGAAAGGAGTGAGACTGCAAAGTCTTTCCCTGGACTTTCTCCTGCAAGGCTTGCAGCCCTTTGTATGTGAACACAAAGCATGCCAGGTTGCGGGAGTGGGTGTATGTGGCCTTCAAAATGGCTCTGAGCTTGTCCTTCAAACTATCAGATGAAAAGAAAAAATGTGTTTAGACTTCAGAGGCATGGGGAGTGTTATAATAACAATGTGCTTAAAAGATTCAGAGTCTTACCTGCCACTTCTGAACAGGAATGTCATTACCAGGGCATGTGGTGCTCTGATTTTGGCTCCATATCTGAGAAATAAACACACGGTGTAATGTCAGTGTAATGTGGATTCAAGAGAAGGTCAAACATCCTGAGTGCTTTTAGATAAGACAACAAACTGCTGACACTATCTCTTCCCTTAAGTTACCACGGTGGCTACAGGCAGCTAAAGCTACCTAGCGCTGCAGTAAACAGCTGATGAGGACCTGTTAGCCTCCAGCAGTGGAGTGAAGAAGTTATCCGTCGTAGCTGAGCCAACGTTAGCTCAGTTTATATTGAATGTTTTTCACTCACACGGCGCCGTTTCTGAATCCTTTTAAAACCGCCAGTGCAGCTTTATATTTCTCCTGCTGCAGGAGGTTGTTGACGGTGTACAGAAGAGTTTGTATCAGGTCAGGACCCGCCATGACTTTCAATGGAGCCGAGAGGACACAAATACATGTTGCACACACAGCCTGAATGATGTGCCACAGTGACAATTCGCCGTAGTGCAGCACTATTTAGTTCCTATTTAGCAGTGAAATGTGTCTTTTTGAGAATAAACAACAACAAAAACCAGAAAGAAATAGGTGTATGCATATTTTTTAAAACTGTTTTGTATATATATACTCCTCAGGACTGTGCACCTTACCTCCCTTTTTTGCGTCCTATGTTTATACTGTATATTTTTTTATATATTTCTTACCCTGTTTTTGCACTGCTGTTGGAGTT